GGAGCTTCAACCAAATTCCTTACAAACGCTTGAACTCCGAAGTCCTGCACCATCTGAAAATGCAGAGCTTCAACAAGGTCATCCATCATCTCCCATAGAACAAAGTTCCTCATCACCTTCAGCAGAGCTCCAGCCCATTCTTGTGCTGTCTCACACTGATTCCACAGAGCTCCCACAGAATGCACCATTTCCCACAGAGCTCCTGTCAAGTCCTGCACAATCTCACATGAATCCTTTGGCACCTTTAGCTGCACACCCCCCACAAAGTCCACAACCATCTGTCACGGAGCTCCCACAGAGTGCTGTAATTTCCCTTCCTGATCCCACAGAGCCCCAACAAAACGTTGTACCTTTGACTGCACCTTCTATCAGTGAACTCGAGCCACCTCCCTCGTGTCACACAGCATCCCATCGTAATCAAGAAGAGCTCCATCCTGATGTGGCAGAGTTTAGAATAAGCTCCTCACCATCTTGCCCTGATCTTGCAGAGGCCCGTGAAAGTTACTCAGCATCCCACTTGGATTCCACAGATGACCAGAAAAGCTGGACCCCATTACACCTTCAGCAGAGTCCTGCACAGTCTCACTCTAATCTGGCAGAACGTGAGAAAAGCGCTGATCAGTTTATGGACACAGAATCTCAGCAGAGTCCAGTACAGGGTGGTCCCACGGCTTGTACCCTTGCACATTTTCTACACAGCCCTTCACCTCACAGTCCTATCAAATCAGGGCTGACTCCTCCCAGGGTGGAGCTGGGGACAGAGGAGGCTCGGCGCAGCCTTGCACCACACAGTCCTGCACAGGACAATGCTATGCAGCTCAGTGGATCACATAGTCACAGCCTCACAGCCTCACAGCCTCAGCACAGTGCTCTACAAACGGACTGTAGTCCTGTGCAAGCCGGCACGAGGAACCCCTCACAGGACACTGAATCTACACTGGACCAGGAGAGCCCTGGATTGAGCAGCCCTACTCTGCAGTATGGGGCTGCACAGGACACGTCTACACTGGACCAGGACCTCTCATCGGCAGCAAGATACGCCTCAGCTCCATGTAGCCCATCGTCACCACCACTCAGACCTAAACGGTGCAGTCTGTCCCAACCTGCCAGCCCTGCTCAGGCTCTCCGGCCTTCACAGCTTAGCTTACATACTTTAGAACTTGCTGCACATTCAACACTCACGCAGGAGTCCACCCATGCCACACAACCCGACTCCTTGAAACATTGCCCTTTGCAAAAGAGTTCTAGCCCTGATGGCCAAACACTGGAAAATAACCCTCCCCCCCTTAACCCCACCTCTAGCCTGGCCACAGTGCCCCCTGAAAGTAGCACGCTCAGCCCCCCTCATGTCCTCGATTCCCAGACACCAGAAAGCCTTTTTCACGTTAGCACTTCAGCCAAACACAGTAGCCTAGCTTGCTCACCTTGTGCCGGTGAAATGGAGGAAGCTCCTCCCCCAGCTAGCCTAATTCATCAGAATCTTCACAACACCCCATCGCTCTGCATGGAAGTTGTTGAAGGAGCTAGCCCCACACATAACCGGGCCAGCTCAGCTTGTGCCAGCCCCACTCGTGCTTACCAGATGCCTACAAGCCCAACCATGTGTCTTGAAGGCCATCCTAGCCCTGTGCCAGGGGAGAGTAGCCCATCAGCAGCGCTGGCTGAACCCATCCACCTTGTCTCCTGTCAGGATGAGGAGATGGAGGTAGCTACCATCCAGCCAAGTGATGGTGTTCAGTCAGAACCGAGTCCCAGTCAACCAGACAGTCCTCAGCCTGACCTTGCTTACTCAGAAGCCACCGGTGGCATTGTTTTGTCAGGTCATGAGCATGCTCAGGAGACAGAAAGTCCCCCTGGTCAGTCAAGTCGGCCACATATCCAGATTTCAAGCCCTCCACCAGCTTCTGGTAGTTCAAGTCCTCCACACTGTACACTGAGTGATACCGGCCCAGAGAGGAGTCCTGTTAGTGCTGAAACATATCCCTGTTCTGCCAGTGTAGCTGATGTTCACACCAGTCATAGCCCAGTTAGTCCTGCTGGTCAGGCTAGTCCTGCTCATGTAGTAGTAGCCCACTCAGGCCCAGTGCAGACACAAACTTCCTCATTAGCTAGCACAACTCATAGCAGCCCTGCACATGCTGCTCTTGCCAGTGTTAGCCCACCTCACAGTCCAGCTCCTGACACTGAAAGTAGTACTAGCCTTACTGAGGCATCACTGAGCCCCACTGGTCCTGATGTGGACGCAGTTGCTCGTTCCAGTGGGGCTCAGCCTGATACGGGTGCTGATAAACCTGCAGACTGTGTCAGACAAACAAGTCCTGCTGCCTCTGTACCCGACGACTCAGCTGCTGTTAGCCCCAGCCAGATCAGTCAGAACCAAGTCAGCCAGTCCCCAGCTGGTACTGCAGTGGTCCCCAAAGAAAACCACCAGTGCACTGCCTCACCAAGCCCCCTGTATCAAAGCCCACTCATCCCCACTGATGCTACTTACACTCAGGCCAGTCTGAGTCCTGCTAGCCCTGTCCATGCTAGTCCCACTCAGGATAACACTGCGATGCCTAGCTCAACCTCTCCCAATGAGGCACCTCCTAGTCCCACATGCCCCGCCCCCTCACAGATTAGCCCTTCTCAAACAGTCTCTTTTGACACTCTGCAGGTTCAGCGTAGTCCCTTACACAGCCCAGGTCAAAGTCCTACAGGTGTTCGTATGGATCCAGGTTTTAAACAGATCACCACAAGTCCAGGTCCCTCGAGTCCTGTGCAGGCAGAG